CCCCCCCACCATCCTCCACCCACGAGAAAACTGCATTCGAACAAGTCACAGTCATCCCTTGGAAGTCACGGTCAAGCAATTTAAATGATGGTGGAGTCCACTTGGGACAAGGGAGAACCTTTTTGTTTGCTCCGCGGGGTCCTGGGGTTAGAGGGAAGGGAGACTGCCCGCTGTCGGTCAGGCGCACTGATCTAATGACAGGGCCCCAACACCAGGACTGTGCTATTGAGATCACTGGTGAGGCTGGGAGGGTGCTTTAGGTGACCCCGGTGTAATGTATTGTGACAGCAACTTTTTGACCACAAAGACACCTACCCACACAAACAGACACACAGACAGAAACACGTGCACAAAAACGCACACACTCACATAAAACACATACATAAACACTCATATACACACATACATGTACGTATACCAAACGTTGACGTGACTATATCCCCCCTCCTCCGCCCCACACATACACAGACGTACACGTTTAAAATACACACACCTTCACAAATGTGTGCAAACGCCTCACCGTCATCATCTCCACATTCAGAAACAACAACAGCAACAACAACAGCAACAACAACAGCAACAACAACAGCAACAACAACAGCAACAACAATAACTTTACAAACATTTTTAAAAACCCAAACCCGCAAAATAACAACAAAAACGAGCAATGCAATGGAACACGAGATAATTAAAAACGATTAATCAAAGATAAAGAACACAAGAAACGAGACAATCCAGGACAAACTCGAGGCTACAAAAAAGTAAAGAAGAATGAGGGCGCAGATTCCATGACAACCCAAATACTTACATATCTCCAATCAATCTTTTTTTTCAACACCCAGAAGCAATTACAGAGATTACGTACGCTCACGGACATACCGCCCCCCCCTCCTGCCCCGCATGCGGGTATATGCCACACGCCCCCCCCTCCCCATATATACATGTATATATAAACAGTATCCCCAATTCGTATCCCTTTTTTTTCATTTCCCGTAAGAAATTAGGCGTCACCCTTACCCCCCACGTTCTCGCTTGCCATCCCCCACTCACACTCAATAAACTCTGAACGTCCTCCTTCAATAAATATACTGCTCATATCTCTTCCTCACTCCCGCCCTCAGCATCCACTAAACCACCCACAGACTATATCCCTTTTCCCCTTCCCCGCCCCATCGAACCCCTCCCCCCTCTCACGTCTCTCGTCTCTCACATGGAATTAAGCACTCACCCCTCTTCCTCACCCCCCGAAAAAAACACAAACACCTCAAAACCACCACTCCATCATTTCCCCAACCCTTTCTCTCTC